GGGGGGGGGGGGGGGGGGGAAATCAAAGCACAAAAAATGTGACGTGTCTTGTCTAAGCGGTCACTGCTAGAGCCAGGAATACAACCTGGGGCTCGGTTTGCTTTGCAGGATGGGATGCTTTGATATGCGTGCAACACTTGCGGGCGAACGGGGTTTTGTGGACCCGTCACGAGAGGTCAGCAGCCAAAACGCTTCAAGTACCTTTAGCATCTCTGCCTGGGAGAAGACCCAGAGAGCTGGAGAACCGCTCCTCGGCAGCAGAAGGAGCCCATGTCCAGCTGCAAAAAGAAGAAACCCATCCGAAGACAACATTCACCCATTTCGTTCCAGCTCCCCGGGGCGGACGAGTACGGGAAGGGAATGCAAATGCCATGGAAACCTGGAATTTGCAGACATAACGTCCAAATGCAATCGGCGGCAAAGAGCACCCGGGCAGGCTGAACAGTGCAGCCTTTCACTAGGGGAGCGCTTCCCCGAGCTCACCCTCCGCCCTGCTCCTTGGGAGCAGCAGCCCAGAGGCAGTGCAAACCCGAATTAACTCAACGGCGTGACTCCAAATTCATGGAGGAGTCTGGCCCTTTTCTTGCTTGCCCAACAGGCAGGGTTTGAAGGGACTGTCCCGAGCATCCAGGAGCGCAAGGGTCCGGACACACTAACACGTGTTCTTGGAAGAAGCCACTCATTAAAAAAAATGCTGCATCTTAAAACAATTAAGCAGGCAGGCTGTCAAGAGAGTGGCTTTCCTAAATGCAGCACAGGGACATTCCCAGATTAGGGGGATTGTAGTAGAAATAGAGCCTTTTTTACAGCTCGTGAGTTCTCTAGGGAGTGTGGCCTTTGTTGCAAGCTGCTTTTCCCCAGCGAGGCAGAGCAGTGTTTGAGCTCCCGGGATATTTTTTCAGAGGGATGGATGGAAGCAGGCAAAGCCAAAGGGGCACTGAATATCTGGGGGGGCCATCTCAAAGGGGCCTGGGAAAGGGAGCTGCAGGCGGCTACTCCCTCGCCTCTGCGCAGAAAGGCGCAGGCCTGCCAGGCAAGGGTGGGGAGAAAGTGACGCTTGGATATGGCAGGCGAGGGGGTGGGGAAAGCCAGGGAGATTTGCAAGCAGATGCTTTTGGGGCGTTTAACATGCCCCACGTCACAAAGTGCCACAGACAAGAGATCTGGGCACCGCATATGCATCTACTGTACACACGCAATGCTGCAAGATACGGGAGATTTTGCTAGATGCAAGGTCGCCAGGTGTAGTTTAGCAATCCTAGCAAGCCCTCCCTGCTCCCAGGACCACAGCATGGGGAAGACCGATTCCTCCATGCATGGCACAACACAGCACTGCCCCTCCTGGCAATGCTGGGATACCAGCCAAGTCCTGCCCATTCCAAAAAATCCCACTGCTCCTACAGGAACATTACTTTGCACGGATCGAAGTCACTTCTGAACAGGGAGGTCAGAGAAAAGAGAAAACCGGAGCCTTCCCCTGGTCACAGCTCCCAAACCGTCCTATGTTTTGCACTTAAAAACCAGTGCCATTTTGCCCACTTTTAAAACAGGTCAAATTTCCCCATGCGTTCAACGAAATCCTATCTGATCAGCGATGCATTCAGGGCACGGGGAGAGGGGTGGAAGCAATAGTCATCCAGACCATATGCACATCCACACATGAGCAAGGGAGGAGCAAATCAAAAGCCATTCAAGAGGAGAGGAACCAGGAGGAACTTGAGGCTACGTTTTGGAAGACGCTGCTGGTCATCGCTCACGGGAACTGAGCCGACTGGCAACACGGGACAGTGCCCCAGATAACGCCGCATTACAGACTGGCAGGCACCAAGCAGCCCTCAATGCTCAGGACACCTGATTTTGGTTTTTTCAGGGCAGCCAGAACATGTGACAGCGAGCAGGCATGGAGCAACATTGCCATCAAGTGGCTGTCCTGTGGAAATCCTGTGTGCCGAGCTGGTTTGGAAGGGGCAGGAATTAGGGACACGAAAGGGACCCCTGGGGACATCACGAGCACAGGCATCCGCCTCTCACCATCCCCTTCATCAACATACCAGAGCTCTGATTTCATTTCTTAAATCGGCCCCTCATCCACCGATCACACTCGCCAGGCTCAAAATATACACGGAGAACAATCTTAAAATAATCCATCTGGAGAGCATACGTGTGCATGTGTACACACGCGTGCAACCCACACACACTTCAGCGCATCATGCTGCCGGCTGGTACTGAGGCGAGTTCATGAATATTAAGAAGTGCCAGATCTAATTTTACCTTTTTAAATCCATTAGTGAACGTAATTAACTTTGGGTATTAAAATGCTAATGTTTGCTTCCATGGATGGGGGGGGGGGGCCAGGAAAAAGCCAATAAGCATTTAAAACAAGACTGCCCAGGGGGTAAAACATTTAAATTCATAGGATACTCCAAATAAAGGAGCAAGAGGGTTACTTTGAAAGCTGGTAACCAATCTAACCTGTGGCAGCTCTTCCACCGAGATGCACTTCGAGCAAAGCACCTGACCTTCATGCTGTGGCCTGGAGAAGGCCCTGAGGGCCCTAATGAAAGGGGATCACAAGCCTGCGGCTGTTCTGGGGGGGGGACATGAGATCAGAGCTATGGCAATAAAATGGACAGTTCTGCAAACCTGATGCAGAGAAACAGCACCTAGCCAGGGAGGATGCCTTGGAAGGACACTGGTTTTGGCGTCAGAGGGATGGTCTTGGATTTACAGAACACAGATCTCCTTGTTGGCATGGACCACGCAACACGCCTGGACTTCTTGGCTGTCTTTGCGCAGTCCTGCATCCCCGCCCAGAGGCAGATGCTGATTATCTGTCTCCACATAATCCAATCTCCTCCTCCACTTGCTGAGAGCTGTCCACAACCATGAGATTGCTGCTCCATCCCTGCTCCATCCTGGATGTCATGAGAGGAACCTCCTATTGCTTGGTCCCGTTGCCTCCATCCAGGGAGCTGCACCCACAGCGGTCTCTCCTGCCAGCTGCATGAGCTGCCCACGTCAGGTCCTGGCAGTATGCACAGGTTTGGGCTTCAAGGGCACAATGGACAGGGACAAACAGCACCTGCCAGCACCATCTGAAAGCATTTAAGGATTGTGGAATCAAAAACGTGTGGCGGAGGCAATATCTTTTATTATATATTTGCAAAAAAATAGGTATTAAATATTTGCAACAAAAAATGTTCTTTATTTGCAAGTGTTCGGGCACAGGCACCCTTCCTCAGGCACATGAGATTGAAGGACTGTGCACACCTGTCACATCACACCCACATCTAGTCCTCAAATCTCTGCTCGTTTCCTTCTTGCCTCTCCCAAAGTTTAGTTTCTCCTCCAAGGCCCCTCATCCTTTACCTGCCTGCTCCTCTTCCCGCTCTGCTCTACATATCCCTCATCTCCGTGTCTATCCCTATGCAAGGTCTGTCAGTAGCTGCAGGCAATGCACCACAGCTTTAGGAAAGCAAGTCATTGCCAAAGAGGCTCAGTGCCCAGCACCCCTGTGTTGGTCTCCCTGAAGCCAGCACCAAAATGTAGGGACTGAGTTCCCATGTCTAGACCGCTTCTGCAGCCCCACTCCCCAGAACAAGCCTGGATCCCATTGACTCCCAGCCTGCTTACAATGAAGTGGGGACAAACACTAAAAACAGCACACATTCGCTTCCTGGTCTGCTTTGGAGACAGGATTCCCAGCGGCACTTGCAGAAAAAGGCCCTGCTGCACCGATCATCCCAGGGACGCTAGAGGGCAAGATTTCTTCTCTTCGAACCCTTGCAAGAAAACGGCCTCGAGATGGCAGCACACACCAACAAGAGCAACCCCCAACTCCAAGTTCAAGTTCTGCCAGGGTGGGGGGGTTACGGCGGTCATAAATTTAAGGTCGTTCCCTTCTACCACAGTGCAGGCAGTAAAGTCCATTAAAAGAGGAGGTTGCAATGCTCCCGTTCTCTCCCCTTAGATGGAGGCAGTTGCTGTCCGATAGGTTTAATATCAAAGCATTTAATCAGATCCTAAAGACGCCAAGCTAGTCCAACTAGGAGCAGAAGAGTGGACAAAACAGGGGGGAGCTGCAAATGCCCCAGCTCTAAGTTGTTAAAGAGCTGTTTGCAAAAGGCAAAGCACATCATCAACCCTGGGGTTGACATACCATTGTACGGGGTCCCCACTAATCTAGTCCTAATCCTATCTAGCAAGGCTGCTCCCTGCAAAGGTTCATTAAGAGGTCTCTAGTCCCTTCACATGAGAAATTATACTAAGGTTTAACTGGGTTATGAACCGTCAGGTTAAGCATCAAGACGGGCGCTTTTAAATCCAACCTGCTCCTCCCAAATACACAGCTTTCCTCAGCCACAAAGCAACGTCCCTACTGGCCACAGTATTTGCCACAAATCGGTCCATCCTCTCTACAGGCTTGCACAGGTACAAGGAGCTCCAGGTGTTCAATGGCAGGTGCTCACCAAAGCCTGTGCACACAACGGAGCTTGGGGGGGAGGTCTCCATCTCTCTCCCAGCTCAGCCTGAAAATCCTTCACCTTGCCGATATTTAAGATTTGCCAGAGGACTTCAAGCCAACCGTTCAAGCCAAGAAGTGCCCAGAGCCACCCAGCACAGCTAATCTAAGCTCTGATGCTGCAGTATCTCCTTGCACACCCTCCACCTCTTTTCTGCTTTAACAAAGCCAAGTCAATTGTGGAAGGGACAGGCACCCTGTCCCCAGACCCGCCACTTAGGGAGTTACCCCAAACCCTCAATCCTGTTCTCAAAAAGAGAAAGGCATGTTTCAATGGTGTTTGACTTGCAGGAGTTGTCACTCGGGATGGTGCAAGAGAGTCCATATTGCTGATGGGTGTTTTGTCCCTGCCGCTAAGTACACAGTAAAAAAGCCCAGGGCTGAATCGATTCAGTCTTCTCAGGTTAGTCTAAACTGCGTAGATTGAACCAATAAGCAAATGAACAAACATTCACTTTTGATTCTGGAAATGCAGACACGTGCCTGCAGTGGCCCAGGCCAGAAGCCGGGGGGCGCTAGAGCACGCCTCTTGGGTTGGCTGGAGCAGACAGCTTGGGCCAAGCCTAGCCTGCCCACTCTGAGGGGGAGGTGCAAAGCATCCTTGGATGCAGGGGGACTGTGAGTTAATTTGAATCTGGTGGGAGACCAGGGACAGAAGTTCAATAAATGAATTTAACCTAAATCGGTTAAGTCTGACACTACACATCCACCCCGGTTTACCTTAAGCTGGTTTCAGCCAGTCTGAAAGAGGTTTATGTGCACTGAACTTCTGTTGTGTTACAGCATTGAACCAGTTTCCAATCATTTATACCAGTTTATGTGCAACTTCTGTCCTTAGCCCAGGTGTTAGGTTGAGGTAGTTAGTTATCTTTGCACAGAGAAGTACAGAGTCCCGAGAGAGCAAGGCAAGGGCGCTATGCTTCAAGACAACTCTGTTCTCCAGGCAAATGCACGCCTCCAGCTCTGAAAGCACAGATGTGAACCCCTCCCCAACGCACCAGCTCCCAGAAGAGAGCTGCGGCTTTCGCTGCATCCTGCTGCAATCCTTGCAGGGCAGCCGGGGAGACGCTAGGGGTCACTGGTGACTGCAGAGCCGCGAGATGCACGCGCAGTATCAGCATCAGCAGCAAGGCACGTGGGGAGGAAAGTCTGCACACTGGATACCCTGGCTACCCCTGGGAAGACAGGAGCCCCGCTGGGCCACAAACAGAAAACAGGATATCCGAAAGCCAGGGGAAGGCGAGATATTCTCCATTACCCTTCTTGGGGCAGATGGATGCAAAGCAAGAGCTCCTGAACAGCGGTTTAGTGTCAAGGAGTCCTGG